CGCTGGACTGTATGAGAATAAGAAGCAAAATCCTCCACTGGTGATGGAAGGATTGCATCTCCAATGTCGGAATCTGGAATTGACAAATTAGGAGGTGATTCCTGAAATGATGAAGAGTCCAAGGAATCCGAATCGGATGATTGTGAAGAGGAGGACTCAGAGATGTCACGGGAGCGCTCTACCATTTGACATTTAGGTGGCCTCTCATCCTTTAATGGGCCTTGTGTTTCTTCGATATCAGTTGTACTGATGTCGAACTGCCATGTCTCTTGTGATGCCCAGTACAAGCCGTCAGTACCAGGGTTGGGAGATTGTCTGCGTCCGATTCAAGGTCTGATTGATACCAAGAGGAGGAGGCAAACAAATCTGAGGGGCAGCAGTACCCATATTGAAGCCAAGGATCAAAATACTGCTCCATACCCTGCTGCCAATACTGATGATGGTGGCGGTATGACATGGTCGGCATCCTGTAGAAAGGCGGAGGTTCAAAAAGTGTAATGTGCTTGGGCTGATGTTTGTGAGCCCTTGAGCCCTTCCATACCTTCAGCCCCGAGTGTCACAGAGGCTGATAGATGACTGTATTGGAAAGACCGGTATGGTGTCTTTTAACCTTTCTTTTCTTCACTGTAACTGGGTAAGGGATGGAAGGTGACTCGGATTCACACACTGACATAAAAGCCAGCCAGAGATTTGGGGCTCAAGCCAGCCAAATACTCTGCTGCCTGTACCTCAGCCGAGGTATCCGCCCATGATGGAGATCCAGTGAGCAGTGGAGGAGGATGTTTTGAAACCAGTGGAATAGTCATGTGTCCAACTCGATGGGCTATTGTGTTGATGACTGCTGTACCGGATGAGTGTCTGATGAAGGTTTCTTTGATTTTGAACTAGTAGACTTTCACTTCAGTTGAGACATTGGTGTAGTGTGTGTCATGGAACCGAATTACTTAAGTTTAGGAACTTTAGATTCTGGTGATTGTACCGGCGATACTGCTGCTGAAGAAGCAGGTAGCTGGGGGGTTTGTGAACTCATTTTGGTTTGCAGTGAAAGTGATTGATCCCACAAAAAAGAACGTAGCCGTTGTTGTCTCAATTTATTTTATTAATTAAATTGATACTCCGCCCATTTAGACGTCTACTCTGGGCAGCTGTGAGACACAAGGCGAGGGGGCAGAAGCCCTTGCCGGAATGTCCTCCCTCAGGAAAGAACAGGAGGCACAAACAGACTCGCTTGCATCACCCATTGAGACAATACAACGGGGAGTGGACACCAGTGAGTTAGAACGGGATTTGTCTAAACTGACTGTAGCCACTCAGATGAAGAGGGAAACGGCAGGAAAAGAAGAAAGGGGCAGAACCAATGTGGCAGGAATGGGGGATATAAAAGGATCCAGAGATGATATTCCTGGGGGCTGGGAGTTAATATGGGTGGAGGATCCCTGGACTGGGAAGTGTGAAAAGGTCCGGGTTCCCAGGGAGGAGGCAGACTACAGGAAAAGAAGGGGTTTGCCTCCATGGCCCTCATATTGGGGTGAACTGGAGGCGAGTGAGTGGCACTGGAGGTTGAGGAAGGAAAAAGAGCGGAGAGAGACAAGCATGAAGACTGGAGGAAGCCTGTCGGAGGGGGTTCCTGTAGGACCATGGGCTCCCTTACGAGATGAGGACCCCTTCGACCCAGAGGGGAGAGACTAGGAGACCATACCGTTGCTAGAACCGGAGACGGACACTTTGGATTTGGATGGCAGTAATCCTTTTACCAAGGAACCTTGGTATAACCCGTTCACCAAAGACGTTTGGATGCCCTTGTGGGACCCGTTGGCAGCAAGAGACAATGTTAGAGTTAACCTAGAAAATAATGATTTGTTGTTTGATGTTCCAATAAAGCCCGTTTTGATTTTGCAACACAAGAACCTCCAGCTTCTATGTCAAAACCAGAGGAGACCTCATTTGAACCCTCACAGCGGCTAACAATAGACTAAAAACAGTCTAATATATTAAAAAAACAAATACAATTTAACAACAATAACAATATAATTCAAGATGGAAAAACAGAAATCAAGTGGTGACCGGAGGGAAGGCCTGCCTAGAGAGCCAGGTCTTCAGTTGGCTCTTAAAAACACCCAGCAAATTAAAAATTAAAACAAATTTAATTGTTTTGTGAAATTCTTACAATTGAGAGCAGTCAGAGGGCTGATGAGCTTCTCTCAGAGAGAATAAACAAGCCTTGTGTCCATCCGAAGTAGGGAGCTTGTGTGTGCAAGAAATGTACTTTTTGAGGGGGCGTCAAAAGGCAGGAATTGCAACAGGGAAGGGAAGAAGGGGGGGACAAAAATGATTTTTTAAGTTAATCAAGGGAATTAACAGGATATATGAACTATTAACAATAATAATCTGACGAAAGTGATCTGTATCTTATAGGATGAATTGATTTGACCGAGTGAGCTCCAGAGATGAGACCTCAGCAGCAGAAAAAAAGAAACTGAGGTAATTGCTAGGATGGGTGGACAACGTGGGCTATGGGGGCGGTCCTATCAATCTATCAATCAAGCTCTAGAATATGCCAAGGCCTCTGCGCCAGTGCAGACTTAACCCATTAGTATGCACTCAGAGACCACGAAGAAGCAACATCATATTGTGTATAAATGTTAACATGTTATATCAATGAGCTTAACTGGTTAACTAGCTCCATCCATTACTGACTGACTGGTTACATAACTAACAGATCACTCCACTCTAACTTTCCACTTCTGACAGGCTCCATTGCTAGGACTGACAAAACCCTGACTGGAAAAAGGTAGACAGGGAACAATTGACTGCTACTGGGATCCAACCCAATCCAGAAGTTTCCTCCCAGCCAAAACCTCTCAAAGGCATCATATGTAAATTGCAATATATCCAACAGATCAACCTGGTAACATGTTGGTTAGATCAGCAGCCCCCAACCTGGTTGGGGGTGTGGGCTCCATGCGCAAGGGCACCCCCGCGCTTGCAGGTGGGCGTGTCATGCTTGCAGGCAGCCGTGCCCCTCCGCAAACGCAACATGCCCCTCTGTGAGCACGACACACCCACCGTGCATGCGTGTGGGGGTGGAGATCTGTCTGTGGCCCAGTTCCAGGAAGCCCATGGACCGGCACCAGGCTGCGGACTGGGGGTTGGGGACCCCTGGGTTTGATGATAAAATCAAATATAGTACCAGGCCGCATCAAGCAAAGATACGTCAAGATCAAGGAAAGTGATGGAATAATGTGACTTTGGGCACTGGCCAAGTCCAAATTGGAATATGTCCAAAGGAGGGCAACATGGAACCTAACAGGTCTGGAAACAAAGTGTTATGAGGAATGGCTTAAGAAGCTGGGTCTGTTTAGCCTGGAGAAGTAATATGGCAGCTATCTTCAAACATCTGAAGGGCTGTCACATGAAAGGCAGAGCAAGCTTATTTTCTACAGTTCTAAAGGATAGAACCTAAAGAATTCAGATTAACAGAGATTTTTGCCTAAACATTAGGAAAAACATACTAATAGAACAGTTCAACAAGAAAATGGAGAGAGGTTGGTGGACTCTTAATTCATTAGAGGTTTTCAGAGGTTCGTTACTTGTCAGGAATGCTTTAGATGTGTATTTCCTGCTTTGACAAGAGGATGGCCTCAGTGACCCCTGGGGTCCCTCCACCTTTTACAACAGACACTTTTTAAATTGAAAACAAAAAAAAACGTTAAGCGAAGCAGGGGACCTAAAACCAAAAACGTTAAGCGAAGCATGGTCCCAAAAACGCTATGCGAAAATCGCCCATAGGGAAAAACGTTATACGAAGCACAATCTGCCTCTGAAAAAATAAACGTTAAGCGAAAAAAACGTTAAACGAAGCAAACGTTAAGCGAGGCACCACTGTACTATGTGAAAAGACATATTCAGGGTGGTGCTGTGTATAACAAATGTACTTATTTTGTGTTTGAAAGAGCATGAGAGATGGCCATCTTTACTTGTTAAAAGTTGTCAGGTGTCTGACTTTTTAAAGAATGAATGTGTATTTATGTGGTCTGTATCTTTCCCTGTCCGCAAACACCTGTGAGTAGAAGCAATAGTCAAAATGTGGTTCAAGACAATATTTTTTCTCAACTTGTCTTACACAAACCAGAGATTAGAGAAACTATTATAGTCCAAAATTATCAGAAGTCACCATTATGGGGAAATTTGCTCTAAGCATAGGCTAAGAGTAGTGGAAGAAAAGGGGTATTCTGGCATGGCAAATGTAAAAAAGGTAACTTGGGTTGGAAGCACCCACTCACAACTTTGGTGTGGATGGAAGATGCCCCTGTTGAAGGGAAAGCACCATACACTTGTTAGACAAACTCCAGAAGGCACTACAGCTGACCTGAATGCACATTTTCAGTTTGAACCACACAGGTTAATATGTTAACATTTCTGCATTTTTGACTGGATAGTTGGCTATTACAGATTGAGAATTACCCTTATGTATAATGACGGGGTATAGGTTTAGATTTGTCTGAGCATGGATCTAAAGAGCAGACACAAAAAGAAGTAGGACAGAAAAAGAGGGCTCAGTTGAATAGAATGCCTGTGAAATCAATCTTGGGTCCTAACAGAATGTTATGTACATTAAAATCAATTTAGTAAAAATGCTTTGGTTAAAAATTAACTAGGTTTATATACAGTAGTAAAATTATTCTCTAACTATGTAGCTACCCTACTTGTATCTGTTCTTAATGTGGGCTAACTATATATGAATGTTAGAGTTTACGAGCTGCTTTCATTCTAAAAGTAACTTTCAGCTCTTTGCATTGATTAAAAATAGTACAACTGATTTACAGGATTAGTTTTTCTAATTAAGGCTAATCTTCTTGAGTCACCCTGAAATTTGATCTGGTTCTGCCAGTTGTAAAGAACAGAAGGGGTTGCCTGATCATTTGCCTGTCCTGATCAAGGCTTTTTAATTAAAAAAAATCTAGATGAGGATAACTTATAGGTTCACTCACTGCAAGAGCTTAGAAAGCAAACTTTTATTGAAGCATTATGATTTCTGGTACAGGTATATTTTTGTACATTTTAATGATCCATGTCTAACACCACAGAGAGAAGTTTTAAACAACAAACATTATCCCCCTCTTTTGTTCACCCTAGTGTTCATAAATACCATTCAACCATTTTCTTTCTATTTGAGGCTTACATCTACCTGAATCTGCATTTTTATACTAGTTAAAGGGATCTTCAGTCAGCAGACCTCAAACCAACAAGGAATGCCCTTTACTTGGGCACTCTTCAAGAATAAAAGGCATCTGAAAAATTGGTCCGTTAAACTCTAAAGCACCCCAAACTGCTAGGTGCTACTCAGAAGGAAAACTGATAATTTTGGTAGAAAAATCTATTAAAAAATTTAAAAAAATGAAGGTGTTCCAACTGCTTGATTTCCAACCAAGCAATTTAGTAGCCTTAGAAACACTGAAAAAGCATTTCATTTATAAATACAGGAGGAACAAAATATTGTCATATTCAGAGAACCAAAAACATAGCAAGGAGTATCACATTTGTAACAGACTTGCTGGTCTCATCAGCTGATATCCCACAGTATTTCAAATGACACTTGAATATACGGTCTTTTAGAAGCTTGTCTTGTGACACAAAATAATTTTCATGCCTATACTGTTATTAATGTTCCACACAAAAGCCAGAATCCTACTAGTACAGACAAGTGACAAGATGCTAGGGTCTGTTTTGGTCATGTGCCCAGTTACAGGCCCAATTGTACATCCTAGATTAATTCCCTCACCTCATCAATTAGCTGCAGCAAATTATGCAAATATTAAGCAAGCACCAATAGGATTCTGGCTATAGTATTGTTCTTCACTGTGTCTAGGCTTCCCCTATTTTCCTTGCAGCAGCTTAACCATTCAGTGCCTTCCACATCATGTAAAAAAAGAACCACACATCAATCAGGAAAAAACACAGATGACATTATGACATTGTTAATTCAGCTTAAATATCACATGCACAATGATGTTACAGTGTGGAAGGACCTGCTTGAATTAATATGAAGTAGCACTTGAGCCAGTATGTTTCACAGTAAAAAATAGCAACCAAATTGTGCAGTAGTTGAATCACATTTGTGAAAAAGCCTAGAACCAACTTCATTGATACTGCCACCATTGTTTCAATACATACATATTCCAACATCTTCTACCAGTTGCTATCAGTTGCCTTTGAACTAAAGATCAACATGGAACAGGAATGGTTTTGGCCTAAGCTTAGACCATAAAAATAACTTGTGATAAACAGGCAAATTAAGTTCCCACATGTGAAAAGCTAATTTATGAACCTCAGTACAGTTTGTTCTGGAAATGCTTACAGATCTAGTGATAAAACTGACAACCCTCAAATTTATAAAAAATGAAGTAGCTCACCAATCTCAATATCTCTAAACTCTAAGAAGTTTGAATCTGTCAATGAGGAATTACAGTGTCAATTAAGCAAGTGCAATCACTCATTCAAGAATTGTTTTAAAAGTTAAGTTACCGCATACATATGAAAAAGTTAGGCAAGAATCAACTGTTTTACATAAGAAGGTCCAAAGAATATTTTAATGAGGACGAAATCCTTGTCTGTGGGGAATTTTTGGTGATACCTGGAGAAAAACTATACTGCATGTAATCCTATTTGAATTGTTTTTACAAATGTTGTAGAGTCTCATACAGTAAAATTTTTCTACATGCATTTCAATTTCACAGCAAAAGTGAAATAGAATACCTAAACACAGAAGAGAGCGTTCATGCAATATACCTAAATTTTTGATATAATAATGCATACAATTGAAAATTATACTATGATTACATCTAGGGCTTTCTGCAACTACGAGGTGGATATGAAAAATATGGCCCCTTGTATCATTAACTAGAAAGCAACCACCACCTCTTCTATTGCGTATCTTTTTGCGCCTTTTCTTCATTCTTCTTAATCAACTCTGCTGTTTATTCTTGGCAAAACTGGTAAAAACGAAGTTGTAATCATTAAACTGAGCAATCTGGCGATCTAGACGCTTAAAACCTTCAATCTTCTGGGCTGAAGAAAATACTGTGCGACACTTTGAGCTCTGAAAGAAAGAAGATGTCCCTCAAATTTTGCAGGAGATAAACTAATCTTAATAATAAAGTCAGTATAGGAATGCAACATGTCGGAGGTATACCAACATTTCAAAGTTTCTTATGGAACCTTCAAAATTAATAAAATTGTTATGGCATGAACTGTCATACATCAAAACAGTTTATGAGATGGAAGAAGTGATAAGGTATATGTTTAATTACGAATGAATCCTACTGTACATTTTAGAACCATTTGACCTTCTAGATTCAAGAAATTTGTAAGGAAAAGACACAAATGAATTATATATAAAGAAGGTTAAGAACTCCAGTTTAAATGCCTGTGATTGCTTGGTGCCAAATTAGAGAGCAATATGAAAAATGTAAACATTTATATTCAAACCCAGGGTTTAATGAATTGGAAAAGGCTTATACTTTTTGAAGCTGTCCTCTTTTATGTATCCATTTACAGTCCTTTGCTATTATTGGATCTATTTCTTAATTTCAATTAACACTTTCCTTATGTCATAACAAGCTATTCAATTTGGAATGGAAAAAGGGGGGGGAAGCCTTTTTACGTTCCGAGGCACTTGACAAGCCTCTGCAAGCACCCATCGCTGCGTGGAGGGACCCCCACCAGTGCTCCGATGGTGCAGGGGAAGCCTCCGAAGGGCTCCAAAGCTGTTGTGCGCTGTTGCGGGGAACCCCTGCCAGTGCTCCAATGGCTTCCCCTGCACCATCCCGGCAGTGGCCTCCGAAGGACCCTTCAATAAGGTCCTTCCGAGGCTACTGCCGGCATTTTCCCCCAGCTGAGCGGCGGCGCTCCCGCTTAGCTGGGGGAAAATGCCCCCTGCGAAGGGGAATCCCGGTGGTGGCCTCGGAAGGACCCTTCAGTAAGGTCCTTCCGAGGCTACTGCCGGCATTTTCCCCCAGCTGAGTGGTGGGAGCGGTCCTTCGGAGGCTCCTGCTGCTCAGCTGGGGGAAAATGGGGCCTATGGGGAAAAAATTGCAAAGTGATTTTTCCCCATAGGCAACATTGCAATGCGATCGCAAAAAACCCTTCGCTATGCGGATTCATCATTAAACGGGGCACTCGTTATACGAGACACCACTGTATTTCTAGATAGCACAATCATTTTGTAGCATCTGAATTCAAAAACTATTACCCACTATTTTTATATACCGTTTCCCTGAAAATAAGCCCCAGTATGATTTTTCAGGATGTTTGTAATATAAGCCCTACCCCAAAATAAGCCCCAATTAAGTGAAACCCTGCCCTTCACAATTGTTCAGCAATCAGAAGATGACACAACTGTATTTGAATGTAGATTGTTGTACATGAAAAAAATAATGCATCCCCTGAAAATAAGCCCCAGTATGATTTTTCAGGATGTTTGTAATATAAGCCCTACCCCAAAATAAGCCCCAATTAAGTGAAACCCTGCCCTTCACAATTGTTCAGCAATCAGAAGATGACACAACTGTATTTGAATGTAGATTGTTGTACATGAAAAAAATAATGCATCCCCTGAAAATAAGCCCTAATGCATTTTTGGAGCAAAAATTAATGTAAACCCTGTAAGACCCTGTCTTATTTTCAGGGAAACACGGTATTATTGTAGTTATGTAGCTGAAGATATTTTGAAACAAATCAATCATGTGCATCCTATAAAACTCATCAGAATTTTTCTTGATTAACAAAGCAATACAAATGTTTTACCTGATTAACAAAGAGTGTTGTCACAAATTTTCCTGGCTTAAAAATATCTATGACCTTTCTAATTAGGTCATCGTAGGACGTCTGGCTTATGTTTGTTTCAAAACTAACGTATGAGAACTCTGGTTCTGGTGTGATGTGAATAGTCCAATAAGTTCCCTAGGAAAAAGTAAGGCATCATGTCAGTCACTTTAATATTTGTATAACACACATGAATGCTCATTTCAAAATAACTCAGTCATGATACTCACATCTGTTTTCATCCCATTCATTGAATATCCACAAGGATTGAACATTGTAGCATCAATGACAGAACCTGGTATCAGGTCACGAATTCCACTCATCTAAAGAGTTAAAAATATATGTTTTGATTTTCAAGTTCTTGCTGTTACACTTCACTCAAGCTACTGTACCCTCTTCTCTTTCACACTCTAATCAAAGATAACAGAACCATGGCTATTAGTTTTATCTTGCTGCTTTCAACTAGGGAAATAACTTGTGCGCTTGAGACTATTATTCTTTGAATGTATTTTATGTAAGGCATTCTAAGCTGATCAAAACATACTTGCGTAAGATAGTATCTAGATGGAGAAAGGGGCAGATAGCAGTGTATGCTTTGTTGCTGACTAGCAATCCTAAAGCCAGCCAATTTCCCCTAAAAGGTAGATCATATGTTATATTAAGTTACAAACAAAAAGGAAAACATCAAGTTGATCCTGGAACATGCTGACCTAGCCTGTATTATGGAGACCTGCTTGGAGAAAGTTTGAGGAGTTGTCTTGCTCAGCTTTGGTGGCAGCAGGCAAGATCTCCCAAAAAGAACAAGATCTTGACCATTTGGCAACCTGTTGTGAGGTCTCTCCACAACAACTCTGCAGACAAAGTTGTTTGGCTCCACTCTCACTTGGATGCTGTAACTGATACATAGATTCTATGGATGCAATTTTGGCTTCTGAATATCCCATTATAATGGATATGTTTCAGTTGGCACAACCTGAGGATGTGGACAGGATTCTTGGAGAGGTGGAATGCCATCACGTGTGCTCGACTCCTGCCCTTCCTGGCTTATAAAAACAGTCGGAGAGGGCATGGCGGAATAGGTAACAGGAGTGGTGAATGCCTCCTTATAGCAGGGTAGCATGCTTAAAGAAGGCAGTAGTAAGAACATTATCAAAGCAGCCATCCCTGTATCCCACTTTACTGGACAACAATCAGTCAGTCTAAAGCATTCCATATCTGGTGCTGGAGTGTGTGGTACATTTCTCAACGCCAAGGATTCCTGGATGAAATTAGACTAATTTCAAGTTGGCTTGAGGCCTGGTTATGGGATGGAGACTGCTTTGGTCAGCTTGGTAAATGACCTGCACCAGGAACTAGATAGGGACTGTGTGTCCCTGTTGGTTCTGCTGAACCTCTCAGTGGCTTTCAATGCCATAAACCATGCTATCCTTCTGGATTGTCTCTCTGGAATAGGAATTGCAGGCATTGTTTTAAAGTGGCTCTAGTACTTCCTGAAAGGGAGAATGCAGAAGATGGTGCTGGGGGACTCTCGTTTGATGCCCTGGCTGTTGTCCTGTGGTGTCCTCCAGGGTTCCATTTTGTCCCCCATGCATTTTAACATCTATATACATGAAACTGTTGGGAGAGGTTGTCTGATGTTTTGGGATTCGGTGTTACCAGTATGTGGATGACACCCAATTCTTTCCATCTAATTCCAAGGAAACTGGCTTGGATCTAAACCAATGCTTGTTATCAGTAATGGGCTGGATGAGGGCAAACAAACAAAAACTTTATCCAAAGTGCTCCTGGTCAATCAGAAGAGAGATGAGGGATGCTACCTGTGTTGACTGGGGTTACACTCCCCCTGAAAACTGAGGTATATTCCTGGATTCATCCCTGAGCCTGGATGCCCAGAATTTAGTGGTGACCAAGAGTTAAAACTGGTGTGGCAACTGTGCCCTTTCCTTGATGTGTCTGATCCAGCTACAGTGACACATGCCTTAGGTACATCCCGCTTGGACTACTATAGCCCCTCCTCTCAGTCCCATCACCATTTCAGGTATTGATAGGGTCATGGGAGGGGCTTCTCTGTGGCAGCTCCCAAATTCCAGAATGCTCCCCATCACAAGACTATGTTGGCCCCCTTCCATTTTATCCTTCTGGTGACAGCTGCAGATTCACTTTTTCGGACAGGTTTTAACTTTTAACTTTAATATGCAACTTTAAATTGAGACCTTGGTTTTAAAGTTAATGCTTTTAATTGTTTGAAATATTGTAATTATTAAAATAGTTAAATTGTTTTTTAATGTGTTATTCATTGCATTTTAAATTATACTTATTTTAAGTTTGTGAGCCATCTTTCGTCCCTTTTATGGGAGAAAGGTACCGTCCTTCCCCAAAAATAAGACAGGGTCTTATACTCATTTTTGCTCCAAAAACGCATTAGGGTTTATTTTTAGGGGATGTTTTATTTTTTTTCATGTACAACTGTCTACATTTATTCAAATACAGTCATGTCATCTTCTTCTGGTTGGTGCATAAGGGTGGAAGGCAGAGTTGGGGTAGAGCTTGTATTACGAGCATCTTGGAAATTCATACTAGGGCTTATTTTCAGCTTGGGTCTTATTTTTGGGGAAACAGGTTAGCATGTATAAATGAGACTAAATAAATAAATGACCAGTTTAAAATTTTCATTATCATGGAGCTATCCTGGGACACTACTATTCCACCTATATTTTCTTAACAGAAAATGAAGCTAAATACTTCTAATTACAAGCTTTATTACCCCTTAAATACAAGGCAATCCAACCTCAGAGACATATGCCTGCCTCATGGATCCTTATAATTTAACTTTCACCTAGTCTGGAGAACATATTGTGCTTATTTTACACCTAGCCAGATGGCTGATGAGGACAAAAGATCTACACAGCACTTGCTACATTGATGAGTCTAATCGTTTCCCATTAAGTGTTGAAGTTCAAAAACTTACACGAGTGACATCATTTGCAGTAACACCATCTTTCATGTAGAACTGGTCCATAACTTCTGGATCAAGCTCGCTCATCAGAATTTCCAACGTTTGATCTGGCTGATTGATTACTCGACTCTCTGAAAAATCTAGAGTGTACAAGTACCTGTTTAAAAAAAATTAAAAATCAGGAAATACAGAATGCTTTATCAAATTTGATAAAGGTTTTGAAATGGTTTTTAGAAGTGAACCTACCAGCAGTCAGAATTCATACGGCCCATGCAATAAGCTGCTCCATCTATGAAAAGACAAATGCAACCAATAGACATTAAAAAGGGCACCATCATTTTTTCTGTTTCAAGCTTACAATTTGTAATTCCTGCATGAATTTTATTGCCTCTTCTAGGCTTCCGTTCAATACAAAAGATCCAGTCCAGTAACAGGCAGAGGACCCAAAATATAGCTATTCATAATAATAAATGCAACATTACGAACTTTTGATACTTTTCACTGTCTGCCTATTTAAGAACTTCCAGCTCTGGCTACTAACCTATACTCATTTACTACAAAATATTGCTGAAGTAACTTGGAAATATACAGCCATGCCTGCTGATATTGATATCCAAACAAATTATTGTATTTGCCAAGTATTACACACACAAGTAAGTTAGCTAGTTCCATGATGGAATGAATGGGTTTGGTGCTAGACAATTATGACTACTGGGGGAGGGTGGGTAGGTATATGCCACCATAGGACTCTCTTGTTGCTGGCTGCTTCGCCTGGTCCAAGTGGGAACAAAGAGAAAGTATGTAGCAGTTAGTATTTAAAGGATAATTAGGATTGTAAACTTCAGATACAAGATAGGCTTGCAAAATGTAGCTACGCTAGAGATCACATTTTGAAGTTTCTTAGAATAAGGCTTATATTATTTATTTACTTCCTTACTTACAGTGGTGCCTCGCAAGACGATGTTAATTCGTTCCGCGAAAATCGCTGTTAAGCAAAAACATCATCTTGCGAAACACGTTTTTCCACTGAAATGCATTGAAAACCTGATAATCTGTTCCAATGGGAATGGATTGTCATCATAAAGCGAAAAATGCCATAGGAAACATCATTAACCAAAACACGGTTCCCAAGCAAAGACAGCCGTTTAACGAAACAGAGACCATTAAAAGACTCGTATAGTGAAGCAAGACCAATCTGTCAAAAACATCGTAAAGTGAAAAACAGGGACCTAAAATTTAACCGTCTTGCGAGGCAAGGTCCCTAACATCATAAAGCGAAAATCGCCCATAGGAAATATCGTTAAAAGAAGTGCAAGATTGCTCCGAAAACCTCATTGTAAAGTGAATTCGTCGTTATGCGAAGCAATCGTCTTGCGAGGCACCACTGTATTTATTTATTTATTTAACTTACATCCCACCCATCTAGTCGTTGACTACTCTGGGCGGCTTACAATAAGTAGAATAAAACAGTTAAAATTTAACAACAGAAAATTTAGGAACAGAAATGGAAAAGTTATGAGTTTGGTGAATAATGTGACTGAGATGAGCAAAGAGGCAGAATCTGAATTTGGCTTAGACCAAAAGGCCACACAAGCACTATCTTCTTTGTGGACTCTGTGAATGAATGAAACATGTGGTGGCAACATTACTGAAGCATTAAGAATCCTAATGAAGGGCTGAAGTAAAGTCTTTTCATAGGGTGAAATGGAGAGCAAATAAGGGGCCCAGGAGTTGGTAAGTGTTTAGACAACAGAGTGAAGAAGCTCACTGGGTGTCTGAGTAGTAGCAACGAAAGATCTGTGGGAAGGAATTTCTGTGTACAGTAGTCCCACTGAAGCTGCGGTTTCAGTTATCTGCAGATGTCACTGCTCCAACTTTGCCTGCAGCACACACACGCACTTACTTTCTCCTCTTGCCCTTCCCTTCTTCTTGCTCTCATTCATTCTCTTTAATGGGTTCCCCCACATTTGTGGTTTCTGGTATCTACAGTTGATCCTGGAACAGTTCACCCATGGATATAGATGTGGAGGAGAACTACTGTACTACTCTGAGGTGGCAACCTATTTTAGGGCACTTGGGGTGTGTCACAGGGCTAGATCCAGATTCAGACATGCACAACTGAGTTATCAAGAAAGGGATTTCACTGATGTCATTCCTCTCCATCACCTGGAAATATTACACAGAGGATCAGTGTATGTACAGTGGATATAAAAAGTTTATACCTCCCCGTTAAAATGTCAAGTGTGTGATGTAAAAAAATGAGACGTAAATAAATCATTGCAGAACTTTTCCCACCTTTAATGAGACCTGTGAACTGTAGAACTCAGTTGAACAACAAACTGAAATCTTTCAGGTGGAGGGAAGTAAAAATAAAAAACTGAAATACCCTATTTCCCTGAAAATAAGACCTAAGATGAAAATAAGCCCTAGTATGATTTTCAGGATGTTTGTAATGTAAGCCCTACTCCCAAAATAAGCCGCAGTTAAGTGAAACCTTGCCCTCTGCCACTGTGCAGCACCTAGATGACACGACTGTATCTGAATAAATGTAGATTGTTGTACATGAAAAAAATAAAACATCCCCTGAAAATAAGCCCTAATGCGTTTTTTGGAGCAAAAATGAATATAAGACCCTACCTTATTTTCAGGGAAACACTGTAATATGGTTGCATCTGTGTGCACAGCCTTAAACTAACACTTTGTCGAAGCACCTTTTGATTTTATTACACCACTCAGCCTTTTTGGGTATAAGTCTATCAGTATGGCACATCTTGACCTGGCAATATTTGCCCACTCTTCTTTGCAAAAACACTCAAAATCTGTCAAATTATAAAAGGCGTCTCCTGTGCATAGCCCTCTTTAGATCACTCCACAGTTATTCAATTGGATTTGGTCTGGGTTCTAACTGGCTATTCCAAAACATTAATCATCTTCTGGTGATTAATGTTGATATGAATGAATGCTTTGGGTCATTGTTGTGCTGAAAGTTGAAGATCCTCCTCACGTTCAGCTTTCTAGCAGAAGCCTGAAGGTTTTGTGCCAATATTGACTGGTATTTGGAACTGTTCATAATTCCCTCTACCTTGACTAAGGTCCCTATCCCAGCTGAAGAAAAACAGCCCTAAAGCATGATGCTGCCACCATGCTTAACTGTGGGTATGGTGTTCTTTTGGTGATGCGCAGTGTTGTTTTTGCGCCAAACGTATTTTTTGGAATTAGGGGTGAAAAGTTCAACCTTAGTTTCATCAGACTGTAACACCTTTTCCACACATGCTTTTGGGAGACTTCAGATGTGTTTTTGCAAAATTTAGCTTCTGTCTTGCCATTCTACCCATAGCCCAGACATATGAAGACTATGGGAGATTGTTGTCACATGTACCAAACAGCCAGTACTTGCCAAATATTCCTGCAGCTCCTTTAATGTTGCTGTAGGCCTCTTGGCAGCCTCCATGACCAATTTTCTTCTAGTCTTTTCATCAATTTTGCAGGGATGTCAAGTTCTTGGTAATATCACTGTTGAGCCATCTTTTCTTCACTTGATGATGACTGTCTTCACTGTGTTCCATGATATATCTAGTGCTTTGGAAATACTTTTGTACCCTTCTCCTGACTGATACCTTTTAGCAATGAGATCCCTCTGATGTTTTGGAAGCTGTCTGTAGGTTGTGACTAAGAAAATGTCAGAAAAGACCTACTAGCACAGCTGATCTTTATTTGGGATTCCTCAGAGGCACTTCAAATGATTGCAGGGGTATACTGACTCCTACTTAACATGAGTCTGAATGTGATTGTTTACTGCTGAACACAGCTACATCTCCAGTTATAAGAGAGTGTGCATACAGATGCAACAATATTATATCAGTTTTTTATTTTTACTTCCCTCCATCTAAAAGATTTCAGTTTGTTGTTCAACTGAGTTCATAGGTCTCATTAAAGGTGGAAAAAGTTATGAAATGATTTATCTGTCTCATTTTTTTACATCACAGGTACGTGACATTTTAACAGGGGTCTGTAAACTTTTTATATCCACTGTATGTATATAATTTTATACTGCCCATCTGAGTGGTTCAATGGGTAATCTGTATTTATAAACACTATAGCAGAAAAGAAATGTATTTACTTACTTGGAAATATTTCATTAAGGAATTCTACTTCTTCCTGGAAATTCCTGTGTGGGTACTCTTGGTGAGAAGGCTTCATGAAATTCTTACGTGAATAAAAGAAGCTCTGAGGAATACAAGGTTTAAAGACAATAAGCAAGTTTCCTACAGTTCCATTAGGGTCAAAAGGCTATTCACCAACAAGTCTCTATATTCAAGGCGTTAGCACTACATATAGATTCATACTCTGTGTGTGTGGGTGCGTGCCTGCATGCATATTAAACTCAAGCAGCTACTGTCCCTCAAAACAAAATGCATCGACTTACCAACTAAGCAGAACAATTTATGATGATCAAAAGTATGGTGCTTTTAAAATTTATTACAAATTAATTTGTTAGCAATGTGAGTTAATTCCACTCCCCAATCACATTTTAATCACTAGAGTCATAAAACGAATTGTTTTATGCACCATCAAGTCACAACCCATGACAACCCTAATAAGATTTTCAAGGTATGTGAGATATTTAAGGATTTACCAGTGACACCCCATAGGTTTATACAGCTATAGGGAGATTTGAAACCAGATTCTTTGATTCCTAATCTGCCACTCCATCCATTATACCACACTAGCTCTCATGAATATATAATGCATTTAATAGTGTGCTTGTATGTGAACAGTAACTACATCTATATTCTACAGAGCATTATTAATAAGAATCCCAGTTTGGGGGGTGGATACAAGAAACAAGTCAATTGGGAAATACATGGAAAGGAACTAGAAAAGAGTGCTCCTAGCTTCTCTCTCTCTTGTTCTTTATATTTTGCCATTACATTGAGAGGCTTGCTAGGCAGAGTGAGGATATGATACAGTATGACGGCTAGCTTACAGGTTCTCTTTTTCATGGCCTACAGCCTTTAAATCAAAGTCTCCAAAAGGAACAGCAGGGCTTGTCCCCTATGCAACACAGTGTTACTTGAAACCAGCTTAATTTATTTTATTTATTTAACATATGCCACCCACACTACCCAAAGGTCTCTGCATTCATATCGGTGTTTATGTTTCTCAACTCTGCTATAAGCATAACTTGCCCATATAACAAAAAGTTAGTATCTTTCTATTCCTGACAAAAGGGTATACCGGAAATTGGTTAATTCAACTTATCTTAAGGAAAGAATTAAACCACCCTGCCACCGATTAAGGTCAATATATCCTCAGGTGTAATTGAGCTAATTAAATCCCTCTATCATCTCCCTAAGCAATCACTAAAAGGTAAAATTCTCCCAGAACAATTTTGACTAAGTTTGGAAAACAATATTCAGATTTTATGACAGGTATATAATGTACACCTGTACACTCTCCAAAAAGATATGTTTAATAGGTCCTTTCCAACTCCCATGATTCTATGATTCTACAAATAGTGAGGCTAATGCTTTAAGGCTTCATATTCAATAAGATACTATTTTAAATACTAATATTCTATGGCTGAAAGCAGACTAGATCAAATCTGTAACCAAATTTCTTGCAGTTAAGGCAAAATTATCACAACCAAAACACTGTTTAAACCGTTTCCATGACCTTCTTAAATCTACATCAGTGTAGTTTAAGTAAAATGATTTGACAGAACTTCAAAATCCACTATCATGCTTAAGTCAATATGCTTTCTACTATATCAATGGTTCCCAGCCTTCGGTAACCCAGGGTTTTTTGGACTGCAATTCTCAGAACCTTCATCACCAGCTGTGCTGTCTGTGGTTTCTGGGAGCTGTAGTCCAAGGACACCTGAGTTACCCAAGGTTGGGATCCACTGTACTATGTAACCATCTGTTACTATGTTAAGAATGTTGAAAACTAATTTAGCATAGCTCCTTACCAAATTTTGGTCTTACCTGAATTGAGTCAAACCCACAGTATTCTCTAGCAAGCTCTAACAGGGGAACCAGTGCCTGCAGTAAGAGGGTGGTACCACATGTCTTCAAAATGAAACGTCTCTTGGAGACAAACATGCTACTCTCACTGAAAAACAAAATTAACAAAGTTAAAATTACTGTATATTCCTGAGCAGATTTGAGAAATACAAAATCTAACTGACATCCAATGTCCTTCTTCCCCTTTTAAAGCAATTAGGAAAGACTGGGATCCAGAGATTTTGGCTTAATGTATTAATTGAGCCATTATGTGTGGTCTCCATGTACCTTTCCCCCCCTATGCACCCCTCAAAAGAACTAAATGGTGGGGAAAGGGAATGTCACAGTGGGGCTAGTCAAGGCAGAAACAGTAAGCAATCTTCTTCTGCCGGCATATGCAGCATAACATAACACTACTGTGTTTCCCTGAAAATAAGACAGGGTCTTATATTAATTTTTGCTTCAAAAAAACACATTAGGGCTTATTTTCAGGGGATGTTTTATTTTTTTCATGCACAACCATCTACATTTATTCAAATACAGTCATGTCATTTTCTTCTGGTTGCTGCACAATGGCAGAGGGCAGGGTTTTACTTAACTGGGGCTTATTTTTGGGTAGGGCTTATATTATGAGCATCCTGAGAAATCATACTAGGGCTTATTTTCAGGTTAGGTCTTATTTTCGGGGAAACGGGATAGAAACTCCTTTCCCTACAGGAATTTCAAGTGATGCTGAATAGGTAACCATTGTCCCTTGCAAAAGGAGTTGCAGACTTCAATAAATAGAGTTAAGAACGCATTGGTAGTATTTACATGAAACAAACATACTAAAATATTGTACAACAAAGCTGTCTTTCTCTTACTGAAATTTTTAAGACATTTTGTGATACACTCTGATGAGGTGTGAAATATAAGTCAGCACCTCAAGAGAGGAAAGGATGTCCACAATGAAATATTCATTCATTCATTTTTATTTAAAAAGGTAATCAGTCACATGGGTCAAGATCAAACTGGAGGGAAAGGGTCTTAAACTTCCCCCCATATAATTTCTCAATTTAAAATCTCTCCCTGCGTCTGTTAGCCCAAAACATGTTGCCCATGGGATAAATACCTGCCTCAGGGGAAAGGGTTTCAATTGGAAAAAAATTATCCATGTGGAAAGAATAGCCTGACTGCAGCACTAAATGAACTACAAAATTGCTTATATCAACCTATAACAACCACAAATATATAATTCCCAGCATCACATTTAATTTTGACCCTCAATCACAACTCATAACTAACTGAAACTGCCATCGTCCTCTTTCATTGGAGAAATGAAAATCTATGTAAAAACATAGAGGCTTAAAGACTTTTTTAACAGGTGAGAGCCAATGTGTTAAAGAAGGTTCTTCTATTTCCTTATGAAGACATTTGCCTCATGTAGGTCAAATCAGTATTTCTCAGCCTAGCCTGTCTCACAAGACTATGTATGCTTAATATTGCTCTGAAGTTGCTGAAGGAAGTATATAGTCAAGAAGTATGAGTTATGTATAGCTCCACAGTTCACTCTCTTCCTCAGCTTTTCCCACCTTTTATCTTTTCTGTAAACCTTTTTGTTCAACAAGGGGGATTTTCCTTTTCCCTTACTACTGAATTATTGGCTTGGGCTCCCTCTACTTTACATGGGAGACAGGACGGCACTCTGGGAGAAGATGTTCTCTTTCCACACCCTTTCCCACAATGTCCATGTGCGTACCTTTGTCAAATTTCTAAATATGCATGATGAGTTAGTTATTCTGGTGTATAATTATTTAATATCATTTTGTTAAGTATCATGATGTGTCATACCATGTTCAAATGCCATGCTGTATTAGTTGCTTTGGGAAATGCAACTAATACAGAACTACATAGCTCTTGTATTTTTAGTTTAGTATCTAGATCAGCAAGCAAGAAATCATTGGAAAACTTGTCCTATATCAACTGTCAAGCTTATTTTTGTATTCTCTAGCTCTATTACATTCTATATTTGCCTAATCATTAGCATACATGTGTAGCATCAACTGAGACTTTTTAAAAACATTATCTCTACATTTTAATGCTGAATTCCCTCTTTATGAATGTCCCCCTAAGTGCTCATACAGCAAGAGATCACATACTTCTACATGTATCTTGCAAAAATAACATACTTTAATTTATGTAATGAGGAGGTTAATCCGTTACGGATTAACCTTCGCTATACGAAATCTTCGCTAAGCGGGAAGTAAAAAGCCATTGGAACGCATTAAACTTCATTTAATGCGTTCCAAATCGGCCCTAAACTTCCCACTTAGAGAAGTTTCCTGGCCCCGGGCAGCCATTTTCGCGCCCTCCACTCGCTTGCTGT